ATTCTAACTCAAATAACGCTCCTTCTATTACTTAAACTGCATGGAATACCTAAACGAACCTAGAAACATTAAATTGAAAACGGACAGAGTTTTTAAAAATTCTAGATGAACCAAGAATGAGAAGGAGAGACATGATTATACATGCAGCAGTACCAAATTATTCTAAAACAGATTTGGAACGGAAGGAAAATAGGAGTCGAAACCTACTTGCTCTAATGCAGAAACTGATTGGATAGGAATGTAGACCTTGTCGTTGTGGTCGATTCGGTACCTCTTGATCATCAAACAAATAACTTAGGAGCAAGAATACTTAGAGAGAATGAAGAGAACTCTAGAAAAATGGTTTATAAAGAGATGATACATTTTAAAATAATGAAATTCGTTTATAACAAAACTATTTATAACTAAACCATTTAATATTAAAATAACCGAGTTTCACTATTTTTAAACTATCATCACTTCTAAAAAACCATTTTCTGGGGTTTTATAGTTTGTGTATTTTGAAACTCGTTTTAGAGCTATAATTATTCTAAAACTCATATAGTAGTTAAAAAGTAGACTTGTCAATGAGTTCACTAGTGCAGAAAGTGCTTTAGACGTCTGTTATTTTGGCCTTTTGACGTCCGACATGCACCCGACGTCTTTGTGGGTGACGTTAACCAGACGTCTGTTGTGCCAGGTCGGACGTCTATATAGACGTCCGTTCTCCACACTCAATTATTTACATTTATGCCACCGGTCAATTATTTACGTTGGAGTTTTGGTGGACCGACGTCTATTGGGTGACGTTAAAGGCCAATTCTGCACTAGTGGTTTGATTCCATCTATGAATCTCAACTAGTTACAAAATGGATTAAGACTAAAATAATTGTAATTTAATGAAATTTTAGTGATTATAATTAATTTATAATTTGAGATAATTATTATATAAAAAAATGAAAGTACATTACGTATATGACGCTTTTCCAATTAAATAATTGTGTAAAGCTATATTCCAGAGTAGTTTTGTTTTCTTATTTTATACATTCATAATATACCAATTTAGTTGAAAATTTTTTTTTTCTTTTGTTGATTATTTTATAATCATATTAAGATTATTCTATTTATTTTGTTGCGAATTAATTTGAATAGCTTTTGGAATATGAAAAATTAAGAATTACAATTAACTATTTAAAACAATAAAGATAAAAATTTAAGCGTAAAAACAAAAAATTTACACATTTATTATTTTAAAAATCTTAGCTTCCAAAATTAATAAATTCTTCTTGTAAAACTAAAATCACAACACAAGATTGATACAGTGAAAAACACTAGAAAAAAGTTAAGCTTGTTAATACCACATTGTTTGTAATGGCTCATCAACAAGTATTTTATCATATAAATATTATTTATTTATGTGTTTCAAATATTTCTGTCACTAAAGAAATATTATTTTTTTAGATTCTTTTATGAAGATGTAATAAATTTATTAAATATTTCAACTGATAGTCTAACGATACAATTTTTATTTAGTTGAATTAAATTGAATTTAGTTGTTAAAGTAGTTTTGGGCTGGCAACGAATTACAGGCCTGGGCCTATTTTATTGGGCCAGACTGTTCCTATATTTTTTTCCTGACAAAAAGCTTTGTTTCCTTTGGATTATCGCCTACTACTAACTATTTTCAAATAGTACATTATATGCTTGTCTTTTGGTCTAATACCGATAAATATCATTGAGCAATTACATAAATAATAATAATTACCATGTATATAAACAATAATACTCTTTCGGACATAGGGTTGAAGTCCCTTAGTCAAAGCGCTCCCGGTTGTATTGAAGACCGGACGGATGTTGCTCAAAGCGGACGGACGTTGCTCAAGGCATTCCAGGTTGTATTGCTCGTTCTCCCTCCCCCTTCTCCAAGCCGTGGGGGCGGGTACCTGTCAAAGGTACTCCAACGCTCAAGTTAGTAATGTAACCGAGCGGTTGACACAACAAGTAATGCATATATTCTGCCTCGTGATCTTAAAGTCATACATGAGATCTTTATTTATACTAGTTGTGATGGGCCTTTACCTTTCGCTGGCCTAATGACGGCCTAATCACGTCTTAATCTGCATTAGGCGCTTAACGAGTTATTATCGTTTATAATCTAACTGTATGGTCGGCTTGGGTGGTCAGTCTAAATGGTCGGCCTGGTGGTTGGCCTGGTGGTCGGTCGACCGAGTCTAGTGGTGCGATCGGCTTGGTGGTCGGCTGCTCAGTCTGGTGGTGCTGGGAGATCGTACGGTACACAAGCCCCCCAAGCCCGAGGATCATGTTAATGTGCAAAGGGGTTTTAGGTAATATGCTTCAAATGCGAATTAATTTTACCTTTGACACGTGTCTTTGTGTGTTGTTGTACATTTGACCAAGATTATGAACCTCTTTGATCTCTTGTTGCAAGTAAGGCAGGAGTTGAAAAAGTTCATTGACCACTTTTGAATGGATGGACAGGAGTTGAAAAACATTCCCTGTCAACTAGTTGAAGGTAAGTCAGGAGTTGAAAAATGTGCCCTATCGGCCGGGCCGAACACTTGATGCCAATTTTGGCTAATTACTTGAGGCTGAATGGCCGAATGGTTGAGGCCGAACACGTACCTATGAGGCCGAACACTTGATGCCAAATTTGGCTAAGTACCTGAGGCCGAATGGTTGAACAGTTGAGGCCGGATGGCCGAATGGTTGATGCCGGATGGCCGAGGCCGGAAGCTCGGATTGTTGATGCCAAATTTGGCTAAGTACCTATGAGGCCATGGGAGGTCGAGCAGTGGAGGCCGGATTGCCGAGAGGTTAAGGCCAAATGGCCGAATACATGTGCGGTCGATTGGCTTAATACTTGTGAGGCCGAATGGCTGCATACTTGAGGCCGAATGGTCGATAGGTTGAGGCCAAACACGTACCTGTGAGGCCGAATGATCGAATGGTTTGGGCCGAACACTTGATGCCAAATTTGGCTAAGTACTTGTGAGGTCATTGGTGGCCAAGCAGTTGAGCCCGGACGACCGAATGCTCGAAGCCGAATTTGGCTAGGTACCTGTGAGCCCATGGGAGGCCAAGCAGTTCAGACCGGACGGCCAAATGATCAAAGCCGAATTTGGCTAAGTGCTTGTGAGGCCATAGGAGGCCAAGCAGTTGAGGCCGGATAACCGAGGCCCGATTGTTGAATGCTTGAAGCCAAATTTGGCTAAGTACTTGTGAGGCCATCGAAGGTTGGATAGTTGAGGATGAACGTCCGAATAGCTGAACGTTTGATGCCAAATTTGGCTAAGTACCTATGAGACCATGGAAGGCCAAATAGTTGAGGCCGGATGACCGAATAGTTGAGGCCAGACGACCAAATAGTTGAGCATTTGATGCCAAATTTGGCTAAGTATCTGTGAGGCCATGGAAGATCGAATAGTTGAGGCCGAACGACCGAATAGTTGAGGCCGAACGACCGAATAATTGTATATTTGATGCCAAATTTAGCTAAGTACATGTGAGGCCATGGAAGGTCGAATAGTTGAGGGTGGACGACCGAATAGTTGAGGCAGGACAACCGAATAGTTGTATATTTAATGCCAAATTTTGCTAAGTACCTGTGAGGCTATGGAAGGCCGAATAGCTAAGGCCGGATGGCCGGATAGTTAAGGTCGAACGACCGAATAGTTGAGGCCGAACGACCAAATAGTTGAACATTTGATGCCAAATTTGGCTAAGTACTTGTGAGGCTATGGAAGGCCAAATAGTTGAGGTCGGACGACCGAATAGTTTTAGTGAAGATCCACGGTCGCCGACCTTCGGTGAGGCCGGCCGGGATACCTTTGATGAAGATCCATGGTCGCTGACCTTCGGTGTTGTTCTTAATGAACGACAGTGGTTCCTCTCGGAACTCGCCGTTCACCGTCCGACCAAGTTGACAGTGATTCCTTTCGGAACGCTTCGTTCATCAACTTGGGTTTTGTTCGTATCGAATGGTAGTGGTTTCTCTCGGAACTCGTCGTTCACCGCCCGACCAAGTTGACAGTGATTCCTTTCGGAATGCTCCATTCATCGAGTTGGGTTTTGTTCGTATCGAACGACAGTGGTTCTTCTCGAAACTCGTTGTTCACAGCCCGACCAAGTTGACAGTGATTCCTTTCAGAATGCTTCGTTCATCAACTTGGGTTTATGCTGACCATTTGTTCGTTCGATTCCGTTTTTGTTCATTCACAATTTCGCTGTGAAGCAGAAAGACCGAATGGTTGACTTCCTGTGAGGCCGAATGGTTGAATACCTGTGAGGCCAAGTTTGAGAAAGTACCTGAGAGGTCAAGGTATGACTGGACGACTGAGGCCATGGAAGGCCATGAAGTTGAGGCCAGGATATGGCCGAACGACTTAGGCCATGGGAATATGGCCGGACGATTGAGGCCATGGGAGGCCGGAAAGTTAAGACCAGGGGTGGCCGGACGACTGAGGCCAATACTTGGGGTCAAATGGTTGAACACCTGTGAGGCCAAGTTTGAGAAAGTACCTGAGAGATCAAGGTGTGACCGGACGACTGAGGCAACGGGAGGCCGGGAAGTTGAGGCCAGGGTATGGCCGGACGACTAAGGCCATGAGAGGTAGGGAAGTTAAGGTCAAGGTGGGGCCGGACGACTGAGGCCAAGGTATGGCCAGACGACTGATTCTCAACACTTGGGGCCAAAGTATGGCCTAACTTTAATGGTCGAGGCCGGACGACTAAGGCCAGATGGCCGAGACCAGATTGCCGGGGCTGGATGCTTCAGGTCAGATGGTTGGGGTCGGATGACGGAGCAATTGATGTCCTTTAAAGCATCACTCATTATTTACTTATGGCTACAATGGGGGATACTCGCTCGGCCCCACATTGCGCGCCAAAATGTTTCGGGCATGGGGTTGAAGTCCCTTACTCAAAGCACTCCCGGTTGTATTGAAGACTAGATGGACGTTGCTCAAAGTGAACGGACGTTGCTCAAAGCGGACGAACATTGCTCAAAGCAGACATACGTTGCTCAAGGCAGACGAACGTTGCTCCAGACACTCCAGGTTGTCTTGCTCGTTCTCCCTCCTCCTTCTCCAAGCCGTGGGGTGGATACCTGTCAAAGGCACTCCGACGCTCAAGTTAGTAATGTAACCAAGCGGTTGGCACAACAAGTAATGAATATATTGTGCCTCGTGATCTTAAAGTCATACCTGAGATTTTTATATATACTATTTGTGATGGGTCTTTACCTTTTGTTGGCCTAATGACGGCCCTATCACGCCTTAATCTGCATTAGGGGCTTAATGAGTTATTATCGTTTATAATCTAACTGTGTGGTCAGCCTGGATGGTCGGCCTGGTGGTCGGTCGGCCAAGTCTGGTGGTGCGGTCTGCCGAGTCTGGTTGTGCGGTCGGCCTGGTGGTCGGCCGCTCAGTCTAGTAGTCGGTCGGCCGAGTCTGTTGGTGTTGGAAAACCGTATGGTACAAATACTAACATAAAAAAATCATAAATATGTTAACAATATTAATTTTGAATGCCTTCCCAATTTGATGAAATAGATTTAAACTAAAATTTAAAACTTAAAAGAAAGAAACCCGATTGAGAGATTTAACTTAGGGTTAAATATGTTTTTAGTCCCTAAACTATCAAGCGATTTTGGATTTCGCCCCTCTTCGAAAGGTTTGTTCATTTTAGTCCTTCTTGAAAATATCAATGAAACTCTGGAACTGTCTTTCCTTCTCGTTTCCAGAGGAAACCTTTGGATATGGAAGAGGTTTCTCATACACCTGTTCTTTCTTTTTCTTTCCCTATCTCTTTTTCACTTTCTCTATCCTCTTTCTCTTTTTCTTTATCTCCCTGTTTACTCATCTCATCTTTTTCTTTACTCAATTTTTTCTCATTCTCTCTTTCATCCAGAATTCTTCCAGATCTTGTAGTAATAACTTTACAGTCTTCCTTTGGATTTACTTCGGTGTTTGCCCCAAATTCCTTCTCTGGTTTTTCTTCCAACTTCTTAGCTAATTGACCCACCTGAATTTCCAAATTCCTAAGTGAGGCTTCTGTACTTTTATGGTTGGAAATTGATACCTGCATAAACTGCTGAAGAGTTTCTTCCAGTTTTGAAGTTCTTTCTGTTAGAGAAGTTTGTTGTTGAAAGTTCTGTGGAGGTGGTCTGTTGAATGGAATAGCTTGTCCCATACTCGGATGAGGTCTCCATCCTTGATTAAAACTTTGACGTTGATCATAATTCGTCTGAAGACCTTGATTTCCCATATAATGTACTTCTTCATGAGACCTGCTTTGCACTACACATTGACCATTATTATGATCTCCTCCGCACAATTGACAACTTTGAACCATCTGCTGTTGTGCTTGAGAAACATTCAGAAACATTTTGCAGTTCTTTAATAGCTGAGATAACTTCTTCATTAATGTCTCAAGTTGCTGAGTCATAATCTTGTTCTGAGCTAGTAAAGCATCTTGAGATTGAAGTTGAAGAACACCTTTTTGTTTAAATTTAGCTCTTTCACTCTGATCTTCATTATCATTTGTTGCCATGTTTTCAATCAGTTCATGTGCTTCTTCAGGCGTCTTCCATCTGATATTACCTCCAGCTGATGCATCTAACATTAACTTTGTTTGAGATTTTAGTCCTCCAAGAAACAGATTTAGTAGTGTAGGCTCATCAAATCCATGAGTAGGGGTTTTTCTCAATAGGCCTTTGAATCTTTCCCATGCTTGACCTAGAGTTTCATTAGCATCTTGTTGAAAAGAAGAGATCTCCTGCTTTCCCTTATTGACTTTGGACTGAGGGAAGAACTTATTCAGAAATTTAGCAACTACATTATCCCAGATTGTCAGACTATTCTCTAGAAAGGAATTCAGCCACATTTTTGCATTACCAGCCAATGAGAATGGAAATAAGCTGAGTCGGATTGCTTCATCTGGAACCTGGTGAATCCTCACTGTATTACAGATCTCCATGAAAGTAGCCAAGTGAGTGTATGGATTCTCGTGGGATAATCCATGAAACTGATTGTTCTGCACCAGATGAATAAGAGCTGGCTTCATCTCCATGTTAGCAGCATTCACCACTGATCTTGCAATACTATTGAAGTGTAGAGGTCTTGAGAAAGTATTATAATCTGCAAGAGTACGTCTTCCTTGCCCAGAACCTTCTCCAGTACGATTATCTTTCATTTCTTCTTTTTCTTGCTGATGAATGCATATTTATGCCCACATTTATGCTTTAAAATTCAAATTTTTGATGGGATAATTGTGCTTAAATGGTTGATTTTAAGTGAATTTGTGATTATTGGAATTGTTGGGTTTTGGGAAATAAAGAGACGTAAAAAGTGAGTTTTAGTGCATAAATTATTCTTGGATGTTCTAATGTTTATTTGTGCAGTTGAGAATATAAGTTTTATTGGTCCAAATGGCAATTCAAGGACCAAAATCAGATTTTATTTGGAAAATTCAGAAGGGGCTAAAGTGCAGATAGAGGAAATTTCAGGGTATTTGTGCAATTTTGGAAAGTCAGAAAATCTAAAAGATAAAATTCAGTTGTTGAATTTAATTTGGGAATATCAACAGAAAATATCTTCCAAATAGTTTTATCATTATCTAAATCTTTTAGTTATTTGGAAGATATAGGATATAAGATAATTAAGTTAATATCTATCAAATATTCTTTAAAACTGATTTAATCTAATGAATATTTGAAAGATATAATATATCAACAGAAAATATCTTATCAACCAACTATTCAGAGTTCAAGCCCAATCAAGCCTATATAAAGAGACCCAAGGGAGGCAGAAAGGAGGACTTCACTTCATATATTCATTCTTTCATACTCCTCTCACTTTTCTTTCATCTTGTATTCAACTCCATTCATGGAGAGCTAAGCATCTAGGGCTATTCTGCTGTAATTCCATTATGGATTCTGAGGTTAGATTGAGTTAATGCAATTGTTTACTTTGGTTATTGATTTAAGTTGTTCTCTCTATGTCTTTCATCTCTCTAACTTGTTAAAAGCAAAGATTTTTGCATCATAATGTGTTTGAATCTACATGCATATTGATTATATGATTTCTAGGGTTTCTAGGTTTAATTGAGAATCTACTTTGATTTAATTTAGGAACTTTCATATGATTAAATGGTTTTTACTATCAATTGAGAATGTACTTTGATTGTTTAGTAATAATTTCAACTATAATCAATTGAGAATTTACTTTGATTGATTAGCTTTTAATTTGGTTAGGAGATTTAAGAATAGACATGATTAAACACAATAGAATTTGATTGAGAATGTACTTTGGTTGAATTTATTGTGAATAATCTAGAAAGGTTTTGCATTTGATTGAGAATTTACTTTGGTTAAATGCATGATCGCCCTCAAATTAATTAAGAATGTACTTTAATTAATTTGAAACTTAAACAATAATCAATTGAACAATTATCCGTGAATAACCGATGATGAATCTATCTTGGAAAAGCAGTGGAATTAGCCTATTT